CCTGGCTTTGAGCCCCCAAACCTGCATGGTAAAAGAAGAGAACCCACTCCTGACAATTGCCCTTTGACCTCCATATGTGTGTGCACATGCACACACACACACACACACACATACACACACACACACACACACACACACACACACACAAAATAAGCAAATAAAATGTCATTTCAAAAAAGAAAGAAAAAAAAATCCCTAAGAGGCCAAATCCAGCCAGAACTAGCCTTGGGTTCTGTCCGGTTTGGCAGCAATCTGCATTTGCCTATCTGAATCTTTTCAGCTGGGTTAGAAGTAGGATCCAAGAATGAAGACGGCACTCTTCATCTTTGCTACAGGACCTGATCTCCAAACCTTCTGGATCAAGAATTCCTGGGAGTAAATCACTCTTCTGAAGCACATGCTTCCAACATATGTGTATCTGTTATAAATGATACACTTGTTTTATACAGTAATATAAAACATTGCTTTTAATTTTTTGTTTTTAAAAAAAAATGAAAGGCTTAAAAATAAAAAACAAAACCATAAAAAAAAAATACAAACAGACAGTGAAAGCAAATGAATAAAAGAGTTCGGTTATCCTTTGCTTTACATCTAGTATCCACTTATGAGTGAGTACATGCCATGTTTGTCCTTCTGAGTCTGGGTTACCTCACTCAGGATGATGTTTTCTAGTTCCATCCATTTGCCTGCAAATTTCATGATGTCACTGTTTTTCACTGCTGAGTGGCATTCTGTTGTGTATATGTACCACATTTTCTTAATCCATTCTTCAGTTGAGGGGCATCTAAGTTGTTTCCAGCTTCTGGCTATTATGAATAATGCTGCAATGGACATCAATGAGCATATGTCCTAGGCCCTCTGCATAGCAAGACAGTTGTGTAGCTTGATCTACTTAAGGGGCCCCCTGGCAGTAGGATCAGAATCCATCCCCGGTGCATGCCCAGACTTTTTGGAGCCTACTACCTATGATGGGACACCTCCACACAGCCTTGAGGCAGGGGAAGGGGCTTGGACCTACTGCTACTATATGTACCTTCTCATGGGAGGCCTTACTTTCTTGAAGGAGGGAATGGGGGTGGGATGGGAAGGGAGGCTAGAGGAGTGGGAGGAGAGAAGAGGGGGTTTGTATGCTTGGTGTGTAAAGTGAATAAAAAAATCTTAATATAAAAAAAAACAGTACTACGTAAAATCATGACTAAAACAGGAAATCCTGGGGGCGGGGGAAGAGTTCAAGTGGCTAGGGGGCTAGGACACCCGGAGCTTCCCGCAGGTGAAGTTAATTATGACAGAAACAGATGGCTTCTATAAAAGGGAAGTGTTTGATCTGGCAGAACAGTACAAGATGGACCACAAGAGGAGAGGAATCGCTCTGATCTTCAATCACGAGAGGTTCTTCTGGCACCTGACACTCCCAGAGAAGCGGAGCACCAGTGCAGACAGGACAACCTGACTAGGTTTTCAGAGCTAGGATTTGAAGTGAAATGCTTCAATGATCTCAAAGCGCAAGAACTACTGCTCACAATCCATGAGGTGTCGAACTCAAGCCATGTGGATGCCGATTGCTTCCTGTGTGTCTTCCTGAGTCACAGTGAAGGCAATCACATTTATGCATATGACGCCAAAATTGAAATTCAGACGTTGACTGGCTTGTTCAAAGGAGACAAGTGTCAGAGCCTGGTCGGAAAACCCAAGATATTTATCATTCAGGCCTGTCAGGGCAACCAGCATGACGTGCCAGTGGTTCCTCTGGAAGTGGTGGATTATCAGACAGATGTGCCAGACAACATAACACAGGTGGATGCTGCCTCCGTGTACACGCTGCCGGCCGGGGCAGACTTCCTTATGTGCTATTCTGTCGCAGAAGGGTATTACTCTCACCAAGAAACTGTGGACAGCTCTTGGTATATTCAGGATTTGTGTGAGATGCTGGCCAGGTATGGCAGCTCCCTAGAGTTCACGGAGCTGCTCACGCTGGTGAACAGGAAGGTCTCTCAGCGCCGCGTGGACTTCTGCAAAAACCCAAGTGCAATCGGCAAGAAGCAGGTTCCCTGCTTCGCCTCAATGCTGACCAAAAAGCTGCATTTCGGTCCCAAATCAAGTAAGTAGGGTCATTGGTCTCGTCTACATGTATTTCACACTCATTCTCCTCTATACAGCTGTCAGTAGGTTGAAGCGTTTACATTACATCAATGTAAACTGTTTGAAGATTTAAGATACCATGGGAAACTGCTGTTTTGTATTTGTTCATTTTTAATCATGCTGGAGATGATGAAAGGGCTAATAGAAATCCTCAGGAAATTACTATGTGTAAAAAACAATGTCTACTAGCATTTATTACATTTGTAGTGAACTGCAAGATTACCCAAAATACCAGCCAGTTTGCCTTAAATTTATACAAGTTTACTGTATAGTGTCTTTTTTTCTGTATAATGTTCTTAAAGATTTTTGAAACTCAGAATGAGATTGTTTTCATTTAATAAAATATCTAAAACTTACAGCTTAAAAAAAAGAGTTCAAGACCTAAAAGTAGAAATAGAATGAAGAAAGAAAATCCAAACTGATAGAAATCTGGAAATAAAAAATTTAGAAACTTGAACAGAACCACAGAGTCAAACCTTACCAACAGAATACAAGAGATAGAAGAGAGAATTTCAGACATTGAAGAGAGGGTAGAAGAGATGGATACCTTGGTTAAAGAAAACATTAAATATAAAAATCTGGTATTAAACATCTAGGAAATCTGGGACATTGTGAGAAGATTAAACCAAAGATTAATAGGAATAGAGGAAGGAGAAGAAACCCAGGTCAAAGGCACAGAAAATATTTTCAACAAAATCATAGAAGAAAACTACTCTAACTTCTAAAAGTTCTTTTTGTCATTTAAGGAGATGACTAACAACATACAAGAATTAATCAGAATACCACATAAATGGAACCAGAAAAGAAATTTCCATCTGCAAATAACAATTAAAACACTAAATGAACAGAACAAACTAATAACATTAAAAGCTGCAAGGGAAAAATACCAAGACACATGAAAGGCAAAACTATTAATATAATACTTGACATTCTCAATGGACAGTCTAAAAGCTAGAAGGCACTGGAAAGATGTTCTACAAACTTCAAGAATGCTAACACAAATGCTAGCACTGAATACCAGCACAGACCTCACAGATGCTATCATAGACTACTACACCCAGGCAAACTTCCAATCACAATAGATGGAAAAACAAGATAGTCCATGATAAAACAAAATTTAAGCAATATTTCTCTACGAAGCCAGCCCTACAGAAGGCATTAGAAGAAAACCTCCAATGTAAAGAGGTTAACCACACACAGGAATACACAAACGAATAAACAAATAATCCTAGACCAGCAAATCAAAACAGGGGAAACACACACACCCACCACCACCACCACCACCACCACCACCACCACCACCACCACCACCACCATACCAACAAAATAACAGGAAACAATATGCCCTGCTCATTGATATCTCTCAAAATCAAGGGTCTCCATTCTACAATAAAAAGACAAAGACTAACAGAGTGGATGTGTAAACAGGATCCATCTTTTTGCTGCATCCAAGAAATATAGCTTAATGCCCAGGATAGAAATTACCTCAGGATAAAGGATGGAAAATATTTTAAAGCAAATGAACTTAAGAAGCAAGCAGATATAGATATTTTAATATATTACAAAATAGATTTCAAATCCAAACTAACCAGATAAGATAGGAAAGGAAACTACATACTCATTGAAGAAAAAAACATGTAAAGGACACTACAATTCTTAACATTTATGCCCCCAAATACAAGGGCACTCAAGTTCATAAAAGAAATACTGTTACAGCTTAAATCACAGACTCTCACACACTGATACTGGGGGGCTTCAATATCTCAATCTTACCAATAGACTTGTCATCCAAACAAAAACTAATCAGAGAAATTCTGGAATTCACTGACATCAAAAACCAATGGACCTAACAGATATTTACCGAACATTTCACCCAAACACAAAAGAATATATCTTCTTATTTGCATCTCATAGAATTTTCTCCAAAATTGACCACATACTCAAACATAAAGCAAGCCTCAACAAATATAAGAAAATTGAAATAATGCCCTGCATCCTATCTGATCAACATGGATTAAAGCTGAATATCAACAACAACAGAAAGTTGACAAACTCATAGAAATTGAACATTTCACTACTGAATAAAAAGTATGTCAAGACAGAAGCTAAAGACTTTCTAGAATTGAATGATAATGAGTATAAAACATACCCAAACTTATAAGACACAATGAAGGCAGTTCTAACTGGTAAGTTCATAGCACTAAGTGTCTACATTAAAAATTGAAGAGGTCTCATTCTATCAACTTCACAGCATACTTGAAAGCTCTAAATAAAAAAAAAAAGAAGAAGAAATCACACACCAAAGAAGTAGATGGCAAAAAACAATCAAACTCAAGTCTGAAATCAATAAAATAGGAACAAACAAAAACAATACAAAAAATCAATGAAAACATATTTAGTTCCTTGAGAAAATCAATGAGTGACAAACTATTATCCTAATTAACTAAAAGGCAGAGAGAGAACATACAAATTAACAAAATTAGAGTTGAAAAGAAGGCATAATAATAACAGACTCCTAGGAATCCTAGAGAATCATAAGGACATACTTAAAAATCTGTACTCTACCAAATTAAAAACCTAACAGAAATAGTTTTCCTCAATACATACCACTTACCAAAGTCAAATTAAAATAAGATAAGCAAATTAAAGAAACCTATAACCCCCAATGAAAAAGAAGTAGCTATCATTAAAGGTCTACCAACCAAAAACCAATCAAACAAACAAACAAAACAACAACAACAACAAAAATGCCATGGGCTAGATGGTTTTAGTGCAGAATTCTACCAGACTTTCAAAGAAAGATTAACCTCAATACTCCTCAAATTTCTCTACAAAATAGAAACAAAAGGGATTTTTGGTTCAACATACATAAATCCACACATAGTATTCACTATATAAACAACCAGAAAGAAAAAAAGATATGATCATTAGACTTAGAAGAGGCCTTTGACAATCTAACACCCCCTTCATGATAAAAGTTCTGGATAGATTAGGTATACAAGGAACATTCTTCAGCACAATAATGGTAGTTTATAGTAAGCCCATAATGATCATTAACTTAAAGGGAGAGAAACTCAAAACACTTTCACTAAAATCAAGAACAAGACAAGGTTGTCCACTGTCTCCATAGCTATTCAATATAGTACCTGAAGTCTTAACTAGGACAGTAAGACAACTGAAGAGCAAAGGGAAATAAATTGGAAAGGAAGAAGTCAAAGTATCTTTATTTGCAGGTTATATAATTTTATGCATAGACAACCCTAAAAACTCGGCAAGTAAACTCATACAGCTGATAAATACTTTCAGCAAAATATCAGGATACAATATTAATACAGACATACACATACAACACACAAGACTTTCTACATACAAATGACAACTGACTGAGAAAGAAATCAGGGAAACAATAGCTTTCACAATAGCCTCAAATAATATAAAATATCTTGATATGACTCTAATCAAGCAAGTAAAAGACTTGCATAATAAAAACTTAAGATATTGAAGAAGGAAACTGAAGATATCAGAAGATGGAAACCTCTCCTGTGTTCATGGACTTGTAGGATTAATATAGTAAAAGTGGTCGTCCCACCAAAAGCTGTCTACAGATTCAGTGCAATCTCCATCAAAATTCCAACATTATTTTTCATAGATCTTAAAAGGGCAATCTTCAGCTTCATATGGAAACACAAAAAGACAGGATAGTTAAAAACAATTCAAATATAAAAATAACTGCTAGAGGAATCACCATCCCCATCTTCAAACTGCACTACAGAGCAATATCAATAAAAAAATCATCATGGTTTTAGCACAAAAACAGACACACTGATCAACACAATTGAATTGAAGACCCATACATAAATTCACATACTCATGGGCACCTTATTTTTGATAAAGAAGCCGGAAACACACACTGAAAACAAAGGACAGTATCTTCAACAAATGGTACTGTGCAAACTTCAGGGCTGCATGTAGAAGAATGCAAATAGACCCATACTTATCACCCTACAAAATACTCAACTCACAGTGGATGGCAGACTTCAACACAAAACTAGATACACTAAACCTGATATGGGAGAGAGTTGGAAATAGCCTTGAACTCATTTGCACTGGAAAAGACTTTCTTAACAGAACATCATTAGCAAAGGCACAAAATCAACATTATGACTTATTAGGAACCTCATGAAACTAAGCAGCTTCTGCTTGGGATTGGACACAGTAATTTTGACAAAGTGGAAGCCTACACAATGGGAAGAGATTTTTGCCACTTACACATCCAGTAGAAGGACTAATCTCTAAATCACATAAAAACTCAAGGAAATATATATCAAATAACCCAATTAAAAATGGGATATAGCCTGGTGGTGACGCACACCTTTAATCCCAGCACTCATGAGGCAGAGCCAGGCAGATCTCTGTGAGTTCGAGGCCAGCCTGGTCTACAGATTGAGATCCAGGATAGGCATCAAAACTACACAGAGAAATCCTGTATCAAAACAAAACAAAATGGTATACAGAGCTAAACATAGAATTGTCCAAAGAAGAAACTCAGATGGTTGGCTAAGGAACACTAAAAGAAATGTTCAACATCCTTAGTCATCAGGGAAATGTAAATCAAAACTACTTTGAGGTTTCACCTTATACCTGTCAGAATCACTGAGATCATTATTTAATATAAACGACATCACATGCTGGCAAGATGTAGAGTAGAGAGACCACTCAACCATTTCTGGTAGAATTCCAAACATGTACAGCTACTCTGAAAATCAGTGTGGTAGTACCTCGGGAAAATGGGAATCGATCTACCTCAAGATCCAGCAATACCACTCTTGGGCATATTTCCAAAGGATGTTTATTCCTACCACAAAGACATTTGCTCAATCATGTTCATTGATGCTCTATTCATAATAGCTAAAAATTGAAATAACCTAGATGTCCCTCAACAGATGAATAGATAAAGAAAATGTGGTACATTTATATAACATATCCATTAAAA